AAATAGCCCTAGCTACACGCAAAATCGCTCTTGGACGACGTAAAATTCACATCGCTCGACGCTTTATCGCAAGGCCTGCATATATCATTTGAATCAAAATAATTATGCAAGAATTGTGGATTGATTGAATTGAGTGAGATGATGCAATTCCGGATAGGATTGCAAACAATGTTGATCAATGGTTTCAAGAACTAAACGATCTCCAAAAAATAAACATTCCCAAATGTTTATAAACAACTTCAACAGTTACAAATAGGTCAATCCATGTTTTTAATGATGCGTCTTGTAAAGCTTGCAGTGCTGTTGCTTACCAACAATGTTTATATGACACAGGAGAAGTGACTTGTGGGATCATAATGTCAAAAGCCCAAGTAAGTCCATTGCAATCTATTAGTATACCAAGACTTAAGTTACTTGGAGCTGTCCTCGTTTTACGACTTACAGAGGAGATTGTCAGAGAAATGAAGCTGGAAACTAAGGTTGTAACTATATGGTGGATAAAAAGTCAAAAGTTGAAACCATTTAGTGCCAACCGCGTTGGATTCATTCAATCAAAGACTGAACTAAAACAATGGAGATATATACCAACAAAAACTAATGTAGCTAGTTTACTAACAAAAAGAACAACAGTTAAAGAATTAGAAAGTAATAATGTATGGTGGTACGGACCAAGTTTCCTTAATTCTTTAGAAAAAAAATGGCCACAGAATCCATCGAAGTCACACAAGAGGCTTCAATTGAAGTAAAGAAAAATCCAGTATTAATGAATTTTGCATTATTCACTGAAGTAGCAAATCAATTGCTTGATATAAACAAGTTCGTATGTTCGAAAAAAACTTGTCAGGATAAACAGCTGGATCCATCGGTTTATAGGAAATTGTCAATTTAAAATAGACTTTCATAAAAAGGGTGATATAACATCTGATAAATATCATGAAAGTGAAAAAGAAATCATAGCTAAAGCTCAAAAAGAAAGCTTTAAAGAAGAATATAGCAACATTGAAAAAGGAAAACCAATATCGGTATCAAGTAAAATGATTTCTTTAAATTCGCAAATTAACGAAGACGGATTATTGCGATCTTGTAGTCGATTGCAAAAATGCCCATTACTTACCCTACGATGTTAAGCATCCGATCATTTTGCCAAGAGGACATACAATAACAAAATTGATTGTTAAACATTACCATGACGAAGCCAATCATGTGATGGGAATAAATCAATTATTAACAAAACTATCAGAACGATATTGGGTAATACGAGGATGAGAAGAAATCCAAGATGCAGAAGCAAAGTGCAACAAATGTAAATTAAGAAGATGTAAACCTGCTCAACAGCTGATGGCCCCTTTACCAGCAATTCGCTTTAAAGAACCACTACATGCGTTTGCTAGACTTTGTATCGATTTTGCTGGTCCATTTCTTACTATGCAAGGTAGAGGGAAGATACGACAAAAGAGATACTTGTGCTTGTTTACCTGTTTATTATCACGAGCAGTACATCTTGAGATGGCTTATAATCTAGATACAAATTCATTCCTCAATGCCTTTTATCGAATGGTGAATAGAAAAAGATTACCATTAGAAGTTTTAACAGGCAATGGAACAAATTTTGTTGGAAGATGTTGAGAACTAAAAAAAATTGTCAATGATAAGGATAAAATTACTAACTCTACAGCTGATAAAGAAATCAAGGGGCACTTGTTGCTCCACTAGGACCTCATCTTAGCAGTGTATTTGAAATAATGGTCAAGGCTGTCAAACGTGCAGTGACTGAGATACTCGAAAAAGTCGATATTACAGAAGAAGATGAAAGTACGGCATTTACAGGTGCTGAGAGTTTATTGAATTCTCGCCCACTAACGTATCAGAGTGCCAATATAAAAGATGGTATTCCATTAACTCCGAATCATTTTTTGATTGGGTAAGTTGGAGGACAATTCGCAACTGACTCATTGTTGGAAACCTGTCATTTTTGGAATTGGTGGATGCAAGAATGACTTCCATCTTTATCTAAAATATATAAATGGAATCAAGAAAAACGTAAAATAAAAACTGATGACATTGTGTTAGTAGTTTCTCCAGATACACCTAGATGACATTTGCCGCTTGGTAGAATTACGGAAGTCTTTGAAGGTAAAGATGGACGTGTAAGAATTGTGAAAGTCAAAATTGGCGAAAAAGTATTTACATGACCAATTACGAGATTGTGTCTTCTTGAGTTTGATAATTAAGAATGTTTGATAGACTGGAGTCTAACAAAGTGGGGGGAAAATGATTGGAAGAAAATTAAATTAGCGTAAAAGAAACAACATTCCAATACCACGATAGATATAACCAATAAATAGCGCCAATATGGCTATAACGAACTAAATAACAATTATATGGTGACTAATAGAACTATAGTGTTTTTTTGTTATTAAACAAAATTTTTGTATAAATAGAGTTTTGTTGTTGTTGTTTTTCACATACAAAAATTTAAAGAATATAAGTGATATAGTTAATGTAAAAACGGTTAAGATTTTAAAAGTATAAGTTATAATACATATTCGATATTATCTGTGATTGCCATCGGATTACAGAGAAGTTAAAAAATAGTTCTAGAATAGTTAGAAAATAGTTTGAAGCTAGAAAATAGTTCTAGATTATGAACAGAGAAGTTAGAAGGTAGTTCCATTGTTTAAATGAAAATAAGTAAGATTCAGAATATATAATAATGCACTCTCTTGCATAAAAACGAGAGACCATATATACAGGGTTCTATATAATGTAAAATACTCGTATGAAAATCATAAGATGGTAAGTAAAGCTTTAATATTTGTTTTAATTTAAAAACAATATATATATATATACTTAAGTAAGATATATAAATCTAAAAATTATTAAGATATCTGTAAAAAATAACTTGCTCCTATATAATAAAAATAGTTAATATTTTTATTATATATAAAATAACCTATTTTTATTTAATCAATATTTACTTTATACAAAATTTTTTTTGCGATGTTTGGAAAAATAATACAAATGAATTTGTTTTGCTGTATGTTAAAAAAATACTTCAATGTACTTTTTGAATTAAAGTAGAAAAACGCAGCTTTGTTTAATTTCATTTTTCATTTGTCAAAAGTCTACCGTGACATCAAATACTAAAATTTTTATGAATTAAAAGGAATCAAAGGAATCGCCAAAGTTTGCGATGTATAATTTAAAGACTCTGAGTTTTTGTGTATAATGGAGAAGACGAGCTTTGGCTAAGCAACAAGATTAGTTTTTCTCGGTGTGCATTCATTTTTTTTTTTTTTTATTTATTATTATTTATTAACCGATTAAATAAAGGTGGAGAGGTTAAGGCCATCGCTCTTGACATTTCTAAAGCGTTTAATAAAGTTTGGCATGCTTGTCTTCTCCATAAGCTTTCTTCTTACGATGTATCTGGAAATATCTTTAAGATTATTGAATCCTTCCTTTCCAATCGTAGTATAAAAGTTGTCCTTGATGGACAGCACTCTTCTTCATATTCTGTAACCTTAGGGGTTCCTCAAAGTTCAATCCTTGGCCCTATTCTTTTTTTAATTTACATTAACGATCTTCCAGATATTCTCACATCTAAGGTGGCATTGTTTGCTGATGATACCACCATTTATTCTTGTCATGATAAGAAGCCAACTCCCTCTGATTGCTTGCAGGGGGCATTTGAACTTGAAAAGGATCTTGCTTCTGCTACAGCATGGGGTTCATAGTGGCTGATGAACTTTAATTCAGACAAAACTCAATTTTTTTCAACCAATCATTATCGCAATAATTTAGACCTTCCTATATTTATGAACGATAATGTACTTGATGAGTCATCTACCCTTCATATTCTAGGATTAACTCTTACTTCTGGTCTTTCTTGGAAACCTTATATCAAATCCGTTGCAAAATTAGCATCTGCTAAAGTTGCATCTCTTTATCGAGCTCGACACTTTCTAACTCTGGATCCTATTCTCTATCTCTATAAATCTCAAATCTATCCTTGTATGGAATACTGTTGCCATATCTGGGGCGGATCTTCTAATGATGCCCTTTCTATTTTAGACAAGGTGCAAAAACGCATTAAACATAGTTGGACCAGCTCTTGCAGCCAACCTTTAACCTTTGTCACATCGTAGTAATGTTGCTTCTCTTTCTCTTTTTTACAAATACCATAATGGGCACTGCTCTAAAGAGCTAGTGTCTCTTGTGCCATCTACTAAAATTCATTCTCGTGTTACTCGTCATTCAATTAAGTCTCATCCTTTTTCTGTTACTGTTTTTAAGTGCTCCAAAAACTCTTATTTGTCTAGTTTTTTTCCTTGAACATCAGTTTTTTAGAATTCCCTTTCTTCATCTTGCTTTCCTGATTCATATAACTTGCAATCTTTTAAGTCGTCTGTCAATCATTATCTTGCTCTACAATCTTTATCTTTTCTCCTCCAGTAACTTTCAACACTAATTAGTGGTTGCTTGCAGCCTTGTTGGAAGTGAAGATGAAAAAAAAAAATTTTCAATCAAAAATTGGTTCAAACCTTTTTTCTCAACATCTTTTTCTCAACTATCTTTAATATGAACACATCATGTGTTAGGAGTTTGGGATCCTTTTAAGTAATTTAAAAATTGTTTTATATGCATACATATTTCATACAAAACATTAAACTATTTTGGAGTGAGCCGCAGTTAAAGATTAACTAACAGTCCCGAAAATTAATTAACAGTCTTGAAAATTAACTAACAGTCCTGAATATTTACTAACAGTCCTGAGAATTAAGTAACAGTCCTGAAAATTACTTTTTTATGTTTGCAATATTTAGGTTATTGTAATGATATGGCAGGGGTGCAAAAGGAATTTTCAAAAAATAAATATATACTAATTTACATTATAAGTAATATATTATTGATCATTACACATTTAATTTAATATAGTTTAGCTATTTTTAAGGTTTTTAAATTGTTTTTTTTATTATTATTATTATTATTATTATTAGGAGGATTCGGTGTTTCAACAATTGAAATAAATATCAAAGACAGATATGGGGAACTGCGAAATTGGTTTATTAAACAAGTAATTGAAAACATGATTGAAAATCAAACATTTCAAATAGAAATGAAACAAGGTTTGGAATTCTTATAATAGTTTGTTCACTTTTTACATAATCTTTTGTATAGACAGTTACGTATCTAGAAGTTATTTAGGCACACTGTTTGAAAAAAAAAGTTCTCATAAAATTATACCGGTCACCTGTAAATGAACTTTCTGCGGACGTTCTAAGGGTCTTTTTTGTTGTTGTTGTTATGCAGGTGTCAATTTAATGATCACATGTTATACTTAGTATGTTATATATATTTTTATCCTATATTTTATGTCTCTTTACTTCCCAGAATGCAATGAGCTTATGCAAAAATTAAATTCATTATCAAGTTAAAAATGTTAAAAAAATTTGAAAAGAATTTTAAAAAAAGTTAAAAATTAAATTCATTATCAAATTAAATTCATTATCAACTGGAGTAAGGCAGAAATTTGAGTGCCCAAATCATTATATTGATGTCAAAATTAACCTGGATATGTCACTGATATACACATTAGAATAGTTCAGTTTTACTTATTGCACAATGTTGCAGTAGTTAAAGACTACTTTAACATAAGATAGTTCTCGCAATTAAATAGATTTTAGACAAAGAATGGCACGCAGGTTAAATTTTGAAGAATGTTAAGAGTTAGCAAAAACATCTTAAATGTGCCATACTTGAGAATTATTGTTTTAAAGGGATTGCTAAGACAAGTTGTATTCAAATGTTAAATAAGCCTTAGAAAATAAGTTTATAATTAATTATAAACTTACCAAAACAAGTTATTTATTAGGATACTAACAAAAATATATTATTGTTTTTAATGCCATACTATTTTTTGAAAATTTTTTTTTTAAATCTGGTTAGTTCAATTATTTTTGACATCAGTAAGTCTGATTAATGTGTTTATATTTGATGACAGGAAGTCTGGTTAATGTGTTTATATTTATTATAGATACAACTGCTGCAGAAATAATCTGTGAATCTAACAAATAATCTGTAGATTATGGGAGTCCTATTGTTTTGCAATATTTTTATCATTTTTATGATAAATGATTATGAAGTCTAATTTTAAATTGGAAGACATTATTAGTTTCAATAACATCTCTAGAAAGTTGATTCCAATAAGATTCTATTAATGAAGATTAAGATAAGATTCTATTAATGAATTAAAGAAGAATTATTTTTGGCTAATGTTTATCTTGGTTTGCTTTATGGTGGGAGTGTTAATTATTTATAATTGCTCCTGCAGGGAGCTGATGTCAGTTCGATTGATTTATTGGGACTTGCAAATTTACTTTTATAAAGCTTTTGGAGTAATCAATTAACATTTCTTTAATTCTTCTATCTTTAAGGATAGTTAAACAAAGGATTTTGAGTTTTAACTCATAATTAAGTTTACACAAAGCAGACATTAGTTTAGTAGCTTGTCTATGAAATCTTTCAAGATTTTCTTTTATCCTATAAGGATTCAAAGCCAAAGATTAACATTCCTCTAATGTTATCAAATGTCTCAAGATAAGGTCTTACAAATGATGTGTACAAAATCTTGAATGATTTAACGTTCCAATAAATGAAAGTTTACTTAAAAGTTCTGATAATAGAGTTAGCTTTAGGTGCAGCTTTTTGGCATTGGATTTCCCATTTTAAGTTATTTGTAATTTTAATACCAAGATCATGCTAGGAAATTAATACCAAGATCATGCAGTAAGGCTTGATTATAATTGATCAGGTATTGTTCATACTTTTGATTAGCTTTATAGCAATTTTTGGAAGTTTAACTAAGTTATATATTTTTTTAGAGGACTAATTATTGGTTGTCAATTAGTTTCATTCTGAAATTTCATAAAGAATATTGTTTCCTTTTTTTTTTTTTTTATTTAAGTGTTGTTCAACTCTCCGAAGCTAAGAAGGCCACCACAGTCAGGGTATCTACTTTATTTTGGCTACAACCCTTTCTCAACTCTTTAACTCCAAAATACAAACCTTGACAGACAAGGTTGCTGCATGGAGAAACAAGTTGGGCGCAGTACTACCAGGGACATAGTGGGGATCAAACCTGGAACTTCTTGCCTATAAATTAAATAAACTTATTATTAGATGAACTGCTAGTTTTTCAGTTGAAATTCTGCTTTATCAACTTTTTCTTCTTCTTATGGTTTTTTATTGTATTTTTTTTTTAATGTTTATCAACAAAAGAAAGTTAACATGCTTCCTTTCAATCAATTTTTCTTTTATTTCAAAGAGAAGTTCTTTAAATATTTTGAAAGCAAAGACATACAATATGTACTTTGATTCAATTAATTTATGAACTAATTTGACCTCATGAATAAAATTTATAATATCTTTATAAAATCACTTTTTTATAAATACACTTTTAAGAATTAAGGTTTTTATTTTATAAAATTTTTAAGAGAAAAAGATAAAATGTTTTTTTTTTTTTGTTTTTTTTTTAGTAGCATTTAATGTTTTGTTTGAATAAAAGTTAATAATAAAATCATTATAAAAATACTTAAATGATAATTAAAATAAGATATGCAGTATATTTTAGATATGTAAAAGATATGCAATATACATTATGCAATATACAAGTTGTGAATCGTGTTTAATTTTGATTACTTATTTTTTGTTTGTTTTGTAACAACCATTAAATAATGATACTATTGTATCTAAAGAACTTTTTTTTTTGATTTTATTTACTTTTGATATTACTGTTTATAAAAAACACTTAGCTGTAAGGTTTATAAAGTTTAATGTCGTTTCAATTTTTTTATGTTGCTTTAATTTGATATTATATATCTTTTTTCTTTCTTTTTTTTTTTTACAATTTGTTGAAGTTATAGTTTTATTTATAAATTATATAAAAATTATGTACAAATAATAAATAACTAGCAGTAAGCAACCTGTAATACGGGTTGTCAGTAAATAAAATTAAATATATAGAAAAGCCTAAAAACTACTTTAAAATAGAAAAGCCTAGAAAATGACGTAAGTCGACTATTAACTACAACTATTAAATTAGCGTATTAATATTATCAGATTATAAAAATAAATTATATTAAAATTAGTTATTTAAAATATAGAAATTAATGCAAAAAAAAGGGTCTCCTAGTAAGTGCGTACATTGATCATGTGGTTTGGGTATGGGTACATTTATGTTTAGAAATTTTTTTATTTTTATTGTTATTGTTCTTATTACTTTATCACAGACCAGCTATTAAAAAAAAAAAAAGAGATAAGGCTAGATTGACCCAAAGAAAAAAAGTATACAATCTTATTCTAAATAGAAGTGGCTGTGACAATTTTTACTGTAAAGAGTTGAAAAATGAGCAAGGAGTACATCATCTACTAATATTTTTGTTCATATGTATTATGGACAATTTCTTAAATTAAAAAGAGTGTCACATTGGTATGCATTATTGTATATATACAGTACACAAAAACGAAACTAGTCAGTATTGCTGAAAATATTAAAACATAACTTGTTTTAATTTTTAAAGTCTTTATTCAAAATATTATTTTGTTAAAATTTAATATACAATTCACTGTTTTATTTTTTTAAACAAGTTTATATTACTTTTATTTTGGAAGAAATCAACAGAAAGATGTATTAACATTCGTTTTTATTATTTTTTTTTTAAGGTGGTAATATTGCACTATTTGATGTGAACCAAACAACTCCGCAACCAGTTGTAACAATTCCCCCTATTATAGAAATCAAAACAAATTGGACAGCACTAATTGCATCAGTTGTTGTGTTTGTTTTGTGTTTCTTAGGTAATATCTTTTTTGTTTTTATTGTTATTTTTATAAAGTTAGTTTAGATTCCAATTGTTATGACTTTCTATGAAATGTTGTAGAATATTTTAGTATTTATTAGAATCTTTGATTTGTACTATGTATTAATATATACTGATGTACATATAGTGCTCAAGAGATTTTATACTCAATAGAATTTGTATAGTCCTAAAGATAACTGTATAAGCAATACAATGTTGTTGCTCAAGAAAGCTCTAAAAAATTTTCGTCTTAAATATATCTTTTTCTTTTTTGTTCATGTCAACATACTGATTGTTTTACATTGTTTTTAATTATTCAAAAACATTAAAACGCGGTGTGCGATATTCAGCATCAGTGTCAAAAACAGTTGACAAACTTCATGTCTTACATGAATAAACATATCTTGGTTTAGCACCACACACTGCTGGTGATTATTCTGTGATGAACGTAGAACAAATGAATTTAATGAATTGAATGCAACAAAAGTACTTAAGAAATTTGATGGTTAAAATATTAGAATTAGTAACTTACATTTCTAGATCAGCATTAGTGTGATTGTTTCAGTGATTAAAGTATTCGGCCAATCAAATCAATGTCATCTAAAGCCAAAAGTTTGTTAAAGAAATTAAAATTTTTTTGGCAAGGCTTGAATCTAGATCAGAGAAGTATGGATAAAAGAGACCATAAAGTATGGATAAAAGAGACCATACTTCCCCATAGCAATTACCAAAACTTGTTTGATACTGTAAATCATTGTAATTTATGAGCTGAATATTATGAAGTTGTGGTGGAATTAAATTTTTTAAGGAAAAACAAAATTTTGATTCAAATTAATGTTAATTTTATACTTTTAGAATTTCTTTTTTTTTTGATTTGTGCGCTACACATTATTATCTATATATATCACATTATTTCTAATACTATTAAAAAATTTCCTATTAGAAATATTGTTGTTTATAATGACCATATAATGAATTATTGATTGAAGTTCGGGTTGAAAATCATTAAATATATTTGTAATTTAAATAAACAATGCTTCATTAGTTAAATTACACTTTTTCATGCTTAGAAGAAAATAAAACTAGAGTATCTAAATAATTTTTGAACTCCGATCTGTAAAATGTAAAAAAATTAAAATCCATCTGAGAATAAGGATTAGAATCAATGTTTCTTGGCAATTCTTCTATTAAATCTTTTAAAATCAAGTTTAAGATCAATTTGAAGCGCACACTTTATTGCACTAATTTATCAATTTGTTTGTATTTATCTATTATATCTTATCTATTATCTTCCATATTAATTTATTACTTGATTCATGCAAATTTCTTTTGTCTTCATTTAATCTAAAATTTAATAAATTAAAATTAAAATGTAATAAACATCAAATGTAAAAACTAAATGTGAAAAAAAATGTTTAAACTAAAATACATTTTTTGTTTCCAGGCTCCAAGTGTTTTTTTGTTTCCAGGTTCCAAGTGTTTTTTTTTAGTTTTTTATATTTTAATGTTAGTTATAATTATTTTTTATAACTATTTATATTGTATTTCTAAAATACTATTTATTCAGCAGAAGTTTTAGCTTGTGATCCTAGTGTTGATATTTTCAAAATTTAATACTTTTGCAGTACACTTGGTGAGTTTGTCAGCAAATTTATAATGTTAATGATCATATAGTACATATTGTTAAATATTTCAGAAACCACCACTTTGCTTTGGCAGAGTAATAGAATTCTGGTAGGCTAAGCTTTGTCCTATCTCAAATACTTGCTGAAATATCATGTGTAATTGGTGTCTGAAGGAAAAGTTTGATACCATGGCTTTTTAGTTGGAATGAACTTTTTTTTTTACAACAAAACCTTTCAATACTTTTGCAACAAAACCTTTCAATACTACTGATTGTTTTGAACAAAAGGTTTAAAAAAGTGCTTAAAACAATAAAATGAGTTACCGTTTTCCTCAAAGTTTGTATATATTCCAGATATTCAATGGAACAATCATTTTGCTAAAAGATCTTAAAACTTTAAGATCTTAAAACTGTGAAGAGATGATTAACAAATCTAAATACATGGGTGCGTGTTCATAGAAATGGTTTTCAGGTGGAAGAGTTACACTGAGTTATGCACTTCAATCAGTTTTTTATTTAACACACTTGAATTTTAATATTACATCTTCCAAATCAACTTACAAACCAATTGTTGTTGTATGCAGATGATTGTAAAGTAATAGCTGTAGTTAATAATGAAATGGATGCACATGCTTTACAAAATGACATTTCTGATGTTTCCACAAATCAAAATTGCATTATCTATTGCAAATTATAAATTTGGTAATATATGCAAATCATTTAAGTATAAAAATAGTGAACTAATAAAATTGTTGTATTGTAGTTATATACGGCCACATTTAGAATTTGCAATACAGGTATGGAGTCCTTATCTTTAAAAAGATATAAATATATAAGAAAAAATTCAAAAATCTGAACCTGAGCTATGCATCTATTATACAGTGAAAGACTAGAAAAAATGAAATTAACATCTTTAAAACAATGAAGAATACGAGGAGATCTCATACAAATGTACAAATGATATTATGATATAGAGAAAATAACTTGGAAAATACCCCCTCAGCATTTGTGCTCTTTAAATTCTTGTGGTCCGTGTTCATACATTCAAGGTAATTTAAAACATTGTGGTCCGTGTTCAAACATTCAAAAACGAGTAACAAAATCTGAACCTGAGCTATGCATCTATTATACAGTGAAAGACTAGAAAAAATGAAATTAACATCTTTAAAACAATGAAGAATACGAGGAGATCTCATACAAATGTACAAATGATATTATGATATAGAGAAAATAACTTGGAAAATACCCCCTCAGCATTTGTGCTCTTTAAATTCTTGTGGTCCGTGTTCAAACATTCAAGGTAATAAACATCATTTATTCACCGATAAGAAATATTTAAATCGAAATCGTGAAGGTTTTTTTACAAATCGCACAATCAAGTTCTGGAACAATTTACCAATTGAAATAGCTGAAGTTAAAAATATATCAACTTATTTAAAGCTAAACTAGACTTAATTGATTATCTTTAACTTTCTTGTTATGTCTGTAAAGGATTTAACATGGCGTTAAATCTCAACAGTATTGTATATTATTATTATTATCTGCATAGAAAGTTTGCTATCAAATTGCTATCTTTAAAATTCATCTGCTAGTGATCTAAAAGTAGTTAAATGATCTCATTGTTTTTCTTAACATTTTGAACCATGTATAGTTTTAACATATGATTTTCTTTGTTGATTATGGTATGTTTCGGTTTTCTTATCCTTAATTTACTTCTGATTGAAATACTACCTAATATAAATGGACCAAACAAGCTCGTGATAACCATGAGTGATAAATGAGATCCCTCAGAGATCTCTCAATACCTATATGTTCAGAAGAGTTTTAAAAAAAAATACTTCCCTGAAGGAGCACACTTCGTTTACTAGCATAGATAGGTCTGTTTATTAATTTATACATACTATTAAGTACTATAGTTACTATGTTTTATGCATCACAGTGAATATGACAATTAACGAAAAACTATTAATTCACTTTTGAAAAATAGTTATATATAATAATACTATTTAAATTGGTAAATCACTGGTATCAAAATGTGAAAGAAGTTTTTCTGTCTACATGAAGAAACCAGTTCACTTTTTTTAATAAGTAGGGATTCACTTGATGTCACTTTCTTTAAGACAAAGATTACATTTTTTTATTGATGAATTGTTTGATTGATATCTTATGTATTTTTAATTTTTTCTTTAGAAAGTTCAGTATTAGGGTTTGCACATCTAAGTTTGATTGAATTTTCAATATTACCAATATACATACATACATACATACAAAAAATGTCTTTTAAAAAATTCAAATTCAATCGTCCAAATTACTTATTTTAAATAAATATATATATATATATATATATATATATATATATATATATATATATATATATATATATATATATATATATATATATATATATATATATATAATTTTATTTTGTAGCATGCGCATTTGGAATATATTTCCACCAATCAAAACTTTTGGCGCAAAAGATTTATACTAATATCAACAGCGATAAACCTAAAGAACTTTCTGAGGCAGAAAAAGAAAAGCAAGCTAACAAAAAGCTGAAGCTTGAGCGGCTCAATAATATGCACCTGGGTAAGTGGAATTTTATTTCTGTTTGACTATTAAATCCAAAAGTTGTTAACTGCCTAATTTTTTTTTTTTGCTAATTGAAATTTTCATTGTATACTATAGAGGGGTTCGTTCCAGAAGAAAAATCAAAATCCTCTAAAAAGATTAGACCGGTTAGTGACGCAAATGCTACCGTATCGGGAGATTCGTTTTTTTTCAGAGATTCACCAATGTTAGATGGCGATTCGGGTCCTCGTTACGCGCTTGACGATTCTGATAGTGAAGACATTTTCACTTCAAAAACAACTCTTATCAAGTCTGCCAGTGTAAATGAAGAATCTAAGACTAATGATTCAAAAAGTGACAGCGTAGAACACATTAATGACGAATAAAATTTTTTATCTTTACAAAGGCAGCTCTCTTGTAATGAAAGACCGAATGCTGATGGAGAAATACGATAATTTGAATTGAATTGTTATTCTGACGTAGGGCTGCTTGACGTAGTAGATAATTTTATAATGCACTTCTAGTAACTCTTGATTTTTTAGCAACATCCACTTTAGAGAAATACGTAAGTCAAAGTTGTACACCGAATCAAATTTAGTATTACCGTGTATTTATTTATGTTTATCTGAAGTTTATATTTATAATCATTTTATTCGATAATGTACACATTATAATTTTATCTTTTTTGTTTATTTGTTATTTTATTAAAAGGAAAAAAATGTAATGTAAATTTTATTAAAAGGAGAAAAATGTAATTATATTTGACGTCATTACAAGTTAAAGTTTTGATATATATATATATATATATATATATATATATATATATATATATATATATATATATATATATATATATATATATATATATATATATATATATATATATATATATATATATATATATGCAATATCGAAGTTTTCATTTTGCAAAAATTTTATTTCCTATGAAAAACGGCTTCGGCACTCAAAATTTAAAAAAGAATGTGGTAGTCGATGTTAACTTCTATAAAAGTATTTAATCTTTTTTAATATTAGTTTTTGCATTTTTGCATTTTTTTCATCATCTGATGCTTTTTCAGAATATATATATATATATATATATATATATATATATATATATATATATATATATATATATATATATATATATATATATATATATATATATATATATATATATATATATATATACAATAGCGGCGTTAGGGTAGAGCCTGGTTGGGCGATTGCCCAGGGCGCCGAATAGAAAAGGGCAAAATTTAGTATTTTTAATCATTATATTGATAACTCGAGATTTGATCGCATTTGATTTTAATTATCTAAAACTACTATTATTTAAACTTAAAAACTTATTATCGTCTTTTATTATTGTATACGAAAGAAAAGAAAAGTTACAAAATTTTATGTACTTATTTATACTTCTTACAAAATAAGCCAAGTTAAAAATTGTCAGGAAAACTCGAACGTAACCAAATTTTATGAGTTAAACTAAAAAACATTACATGAGTAATTAACCAATCAATGTTGAGTTTCTAACACTAATAGGGGGTTATTACCCAATGAGTTTTGAGCTGTAATTGCGCAATTAAAAGATTCTTTTGCTCAAACAGCGTTAAAACGAAATTTTATTGTGTTAATTCACTTTTATTGTGTTAATTCACTTTTATTGTGTTAATTCAATTTTATTGTGTTAATTCAATTTTATTGTGTTAATTCACGAAATTTTATTGTGTTAATTCACAATATTTTATTGTGTTAATTCAAAACGAAATTTTATTGTGTCAATTCATGTAAAACATTCGGATTTACAGAGATTTAGAGAGACAAAAGAAAACCATCTGGGTCAAAATATAGAAAAATAAGTTGTGCTTCAACTACAATATCAACTTGTGATGACTCCGTAGGCGATGTGCAACAAATACAACTTCCAGATAACTTTAGCACTGTTGTCCCAAATATATCGGATCCAGCCATATGGCCACTCATTCGAAATAGAAAAATTATTGATTATATAATATCTAACTGCTGAGTGCAAACTCACATTGATAGTTATCCAAAAAATGATACAGACCCGCATTTTTCTAATTGTCATTTCACAAAAAAACGTGCAAACAACAAAATTATTCAGCGTCGTTGGTTAATATACTCCGTCTCTAAGGATCAAGTTTATTGTTTTTGTTGCCGGCTATTTGGTAGTAGATCAACATCGAGTTTAGTATCTGAAGGATATAACAAGTTGTTATTAACAACTGGAAGCATTTGCCTGAACTATTAAAAACTCATGAGAATAGCACTTCTCATTAGAAACTCTACCTTTCATGGATCGACGCTGAACTAAGATTAAAAACAGGAAAAACAATAGACTACCAAGAGCAACATTTGATTAAAAAAGAACCTACCAGGTGGAATCATGTTTTTTCTAGATTGATGCATATTACACTTTATTTAGCTGAAAACAATATGGCGTTCATAGGCACTTTCGATAAACTATATATGCCTAATAATGGAAAGTTCTTAGGTTTAGTAAAATTATTAGCCAAATTTGATCCAGTTATGCAGGAGCACTTGTGGTTAGCTATGAAGGGTGATGTTTCAGACCACTATTGCGGAAAAGATATACAAAATAAATTAATAGGGATGATAGGTAAAAAGTCAGATATTATATCGTGCGCAAAGAAATCCAAACATTATTCAATTATAGGTGACTGTACTCTGAAATATTTAGAGCAACTTTCACTGACAATACAATTTGTTAATTTATTATCAGATGACAATAAAATATCGATGAAAGAACATTTCAAAGAACTTTTAACTGTCGATGAGATAACTAGTAAAAGACTCATTAAAGTTATTATAGATGTTTTAAATAAATGCAGACTGTATTTTGAACGATTGTAGGGGTCAGGGATATGATAACGGACCAAATATGAAAGGAAAAAATATGTAGTTATAGGAAGCTCGCAAAAGACTGGGGTCAGTCTTGTCATCGAGTACCTTCTAGACGTGTAATACACATAAAAATCAGTTACATACGTGGTAAATATGTATGTGGTACATATATGCCTTAAAATTATTAATGTTACTATCTCCTTTTACTATTATTTTTATCGTTTCCTTTGAAAGTTACATTTTTTGTTTTATTAGGGTTGTTTTATAGTATTTTTATTTTTAAATTTTAAATTAGAGTATAAAAAAACTCCTTGTAGTTGTTTAACTTGATTATTGTAGATTTTAACTGTGTTTTCAGGGACCGTTCGTTGTTTAAATTTATTAGCGGTTCGTTTCTAGAAATTATTTTGTTAAATAAATAGGGACCACGATGTTTTATTGAAAATTTTGAGAGTTTAGTTTTTTTAAAGGGTATCTTTAAGTTTCCCGTTGCTCTTGTATTGCATTTGTTTACGTTGTTTTCAAAAAAGTGTGCTGTAAAATGTTCTGGAACCAGACTTAGTTTATATTTAAACATGAAAAGTATATTTTGATAAATATTAATTTGAAAAATATTTAAAGCGTTTATTTGCTCCAGTAGGGGTTGAGCATGAGTAAGTTTGTTTTTGTTGAACACTAGTCTTAAAGCGTGCTTTTGACGCAGATAAAGCGGTTTTAATTTAGTTATGTGGGTACTGCCCCATGCTATATCGGCATACATAAGATAGCTATGTATGAATGAAAAATAAACGAGTATTAGACTTTTTTGTGTCAAGAAAGATCTTGCCTTATAAATTAAACCTATGTTCTTTGATATTTTTGTATTTATATAGTTGATTTGGGGCTTCCAAGAGATGTGTTCATCAATTAGAACACCTAAAGACTTTGTATTTTGAGCTCTTTCAATAATTATATTTTCTATATTAATTGTTGGTAGATTAAAAAGAAGCTTTTTAATTTGTTGAGTAGAGTGGAATAGAATATATTTAGTTTTATATTGAGTGATAGTTTGTTTGATTTAAACCATATATTAATTTTTTTTTTGCTCATTATTTGTTTTTTTTAAATAAGTCTTCAATAGTCTTTGATGAGTAAAATAAGTTTGTATCATCGGCAAACATTATAGTTTTGAAAGTATTAGAGGCATTTGGGAGATTGTTTATGTAAATAAGAAACAAAAGAGGAGCAAGAATGGACCCTTGGGGTACACCACATTTTGTTTTCAGTAAATTCGAGTTGCTTTTTTTTATCTATAATAACACACTGGTGTCTGTCATTAAGGTATTTTTTAAACCAAGTTAAAGCTTTATTTTTAACGCCATAATTTTCAATTTTTGTCAGTAAAATCTCATGGTTGACAGTGTCAAACGTCTTTGACAAATCAATAAAGATTCGTGAATTTTTTTTGTTTAAATGATTTACTAATCCTATTTGAGAGATCAAGGATTGCATACTCTGTTGCGTGTCGCTTTTGGAAACCGTATTGACCTTTATTAATAATTTTATTAGTTTTTAAATATTTATTTAATTTATTGTAGATAATTCGCTCAAGAAGTTTTGCGAATACCGAAAGGATTGAAATAGGTCTATAGTTGTTTAAAGAGTTGGCTTCTCCTGATTTATAGATTGGTATAACTTTTGAGATTTTAAGCAAATCAGGTACAATACCTGTTGTAACTGATGAGTTAAATATTACGTAAATAGAATTACGTATTTCCTCAAAAACATCTATCACTACTTTGCAAGAGATATCATCGATTCCTGGGGACTTGATTTTAAGTGATTTCTTAGCTATCTCAAGTTCGTCTTGGCTTAGTTCGTTGAAATTTAAGGAGCAGTGTGAGCCTGTTAAGTCATTTTTAAATGAATTGTTTGGGCATTGAATTTTTGATGCAAGATCAACACCAATATTGGCAAAGTAGCTGTTGAATTCATTAGAAATATCACGCCTATTGTTTGATTCCTTTTGATTAATTATTACTCTAGAAGGCATTTTACTAGAATTAGTTATACCTTTACCAATTATTTCCTTCATAATGTCCCATGTCTTTTTTAAGTCTCCATTAAATTTTTGCATTTGGTTGGAATAATATAATATTTTATGTTTTTTTTAATTTTTTCAAATAAGTTTTTGTATTTTATATAAGTTTATTTCTTTTTCTTGAATTGGAAAACTCTTATTATATTGTAGAATAAATAAATTAATAAATTTAATGTACGCAGAGTTTGTGTTTCCTGAGTTACATTCTCGGTAGACTTTTTGCCAATTTGTTGCCGATAGCAAGTCCTTAAATTTTTGAGTAGTTGTTTCATCGATAATTCTTTTATAAAACAAGATTTTTGAATTATCAATTTTTCTGGAATCTAGTGATAAAGAAAAGTAGATTGGAAAGTGATCTGAGATGTCTGTTTTTATTATTCCTGATTTTAGAGAAGTATCTTGTATTAATTTTGTTAATATATTATCATGTTCATTGTATTTTAAGATATTTATGTTTATATCTCCAATTATGAACAGTTTTTTCTGTTCTCTATTTTTTGTTATTCAATATTTCATATAGTTTGAGAATTTACAGGTCACCATCGGATGGTCTGTAGCACGTAGAAACTAGAAAATTTTTTGACGCGTTAGTAACTTCCATTGTGAGGACCTCAATATTTCCATCAGAGTTTGAGAGATCATTTCTTAACTTAGTGTTTAAATCCTTTTGTTAACAGATCTTTCTTTAGAAAATATTTTATAGTTTGGAATTTGGAGGTCTGAGTTTTTTTCTGCTGTTTCGTCGGAGCACCAAGTCTCTGTAAGGCAGATCATACTGAAAGTATGTTTGCATTCA